GAGAGGCAAGTGATGCTTAGGAAAACACCAATTGAACTTCAAGTACATTAAAAATATAAGCAAATAATAATAAGCTAGCGTACAAAACGGAAATAACAACTGTTGAATATCAGTAAAAACAATTTCTTACAGTTGCCATCATAAAATATAACATATACAGACATATATTTATGAATATAAACTTGAAATGTAAAAAATACCGTATATTTTCTTGCCTACAAAGCAAATAAATACCGCTACACAACTTACATACATATATTTAATCTAGTCATAACCCATTATTGTATATAAACCTCTAAACTTAAAACTGTAGAACTTTTAAATAATTATATATAGGTGTAATTAAAAAAAAAAAACTTAAAATTAAAATATTTTCAGAAAGTTATGTATTATAAACATTTACGAATTATATATGTATTTATAAGTATAGTACTAAAGTAAAATGTATAAATTATGATATTACAAAGTGATGAAAAAACATAAATGTGTTCGATAGGTGTTACTTTACATTTTCGCGTAAAAAACAACACACATACAACTTACTATAGTCGATAGTTAAAAAAAATATCTAACATGTCGTGTTTCCTAGATTTTAATTATTTTATTGATCAAACAAAAGTAACGAAATTTTTTTAGATATTCCCCTCATAATATTGGTATATAAAAAATTAAAATAAATCGTTTTCCAACAGCCGCCCAAGAGCCCAGATTTTTCCTACATATTTCACAAAAAACGAAGAAATTTTTTTCGTCCTGATGGGAAACCGAAATTTTGAAATTTTCAATTGAATTAACCACAAACTATAACGAACCTGCTGCGAATGTACTTTTTTGTCATTTTAAAAGTTGATCCATTTCGACGTTCCCTACTTAAAAAAAATACAGAAACTTAAAATTTAATGAACGGAATGTGTATCATTACTCGAAAGAAAATTCTTTGGCATTTATATGTTTAAGATTATCTCTTTCAAATGGTCCAATGGTCTTTCAGATGGTCCATCCATTGAGTCCAATTTTCGATGATTCGTTCGAACATTTTTACTGGTAACGGGCAAGTGATACGTGTGACGTTTAGCTTCAAGATCTGATTTGAAGTGGGATGGATCGCATAGAATTTTGATTTTACATATTCCCATAAAGTCTAACACACATTTGGTTCGAACACGTCAGGTTTTCTTGGAATTTTTCACGCTTTCAATTTAAAATCGACGTAAAATGCGCCAAGTCGTTCCAGACGTTAGTCCGAGCTGCTACGAATGGCGCCGAATCGACTCTTCACGGTCTTCGTGTGCACTTTCAGCTACATTAGCTATATTTTCTTCTTTGCTCGCTGGACGTGATCTATTCGGTCGAATATTATCCAATAATGAATGGTGAGTCTATTGAAACAAGTACATCCACTTAGACATGAATATAAACAAAATTTACGTTTAGAAAAGCGCTAATCTGTACTTTTTTTTACTTCTAACTCATTGCTTTTTTATGCAGTAATCATTCGTTGCTTTCAGTAAAACAGCATACAACAAACATAATCACACAAAATACAAATTTTCTGTAGAATAACACATTTTTTCGCGAATCCACCAAAAATAATGTTGAAATCAGTAAAAAGCCGATTAAATTTAAAGAATTATTAGTCATTAAGCTTAAACAGAAGATACGATTTTTATGTTTCGTATAAAATTGCAAACATTGAAATATACATACATATATGTATAAGTTCATATTGATACAATTTTAAGAAGCTCGCAAGTTCAATTAATAACATTTAAATAATTCATAACAAAAGTAAAAATATAAATATAATTAAGCATGGCATTTACCAAAACAAATTAATGGTATTTGAAATGTTGAAGACAAAGCTACACCAAAGAAAAATTAAATATAGTTACATTAGACAAGTCATTAATAGAAATATAAAAATATCTATGATATACACTGAAGAGTGTAGAAAAAGAAAGCTGCGAAAACTAAAAATGCAAAATGCAACATAAAAAGAATTTCTTGGCTGATTTCAATATTATATTTTTAATAGATGTATTTCTTTAAATTTTTCAATATTATTAATATTTCTTACATTTTGGCGATTATACCGCAACTTTATTAGCAATTCAATAAAATTAGCTCATTGAATTTTTCTTAAATTGTTACTTCTCTTTTAACGACCTTGTTTTTGAGCAGCTGCTCAGTTCTTAAACGACTTCTCTGGCCTTTGAGATAATATTGAGTGTTGGAAAATACCGCTTAGCTTAAAGGCAACTTAACCACTACATATCAAACGCATAGTGGAATGATAGCAACTGTTGGTTAAAGAGCGAAAATATCATCAAAGCGTCGAATAAATATTAGCAATTAGCTGCAGTCTAAACAACTGCTGTGGGTTTGAAGATATCAGAAAAATATGCAATAGACCAAAAAGTTACGCAGCAATGTATGAACCAACTGGTTAGGGAACTTTTTCAAAGAATTGAATTATTGGCAAAATTAATCAATTAAAGGAATGTTGAAAATGATAAACTTTAATATACAAAAAGCAATAATAAAATAATCAAATTAACACACAATTAATATTAAAAAATATATATGCATAAAAAAACATATACATACATACATATATTAAGTATATTTAATATAAAATATTTAGGGGCACTCATACAACGTGAGTTCAAATTAAACAAATGCTGTACTTATATATAATATATTTATTTATACTCATACCAAAGACATACAAATTAAGCCTGAAAGTTGAAGATGCTTAGTTTGCCGGGCAGAAATGAAAACCCGGTCGTCAAAAACTTGTTATAGATTTTGAAGCGATGTTTAGTATATACAATTATTTTGCAAATGAAGTGCATGCCAACATTTGAAAGAGAGGAGGCAAGTAATTTTAACAGTTTAACAGTAAATAAGCCGTTAGCCAACCCACACACGCACACGACACTGGGTCGAGGAACCGATAAATTACATATTATTAACAAGCATAATAAAAAAAATTATATTTAAAAATATTTAAATAAAATAAATATTTAAAAAATCAAATGTATTTAAGAAAATCTCAAGATTGAAAAGAAAACTGCAAAGCAGCTTAACCACATATAAGCAATAGAAGATATTTTGAAAATTCGCTTTCAAAACTAGACATATGCAATTAAAATATTATAAGAACAGCGCCTAAAAGTATGCTGTCAAATATGGAAGCACAGTTCTAGGCGCACATATTAAAATCCTTTCAAATGCGACGAAGCAAAGCAAAAGCAACAATATAAAAAATATTGCACCTAAAATTGTGCTAGCTACGAATTATTATTAATTATATTGAAGCATGATTTTAGGCGCGAATATTTGAATACTCTAAACTGAGACAAAAAATGCTGAAACATAGTTTTGGGTGCCAACATTCGAATTATTTAAAATGGGTCGAATGGGTAAATGAATTGACGCATTATTTTAGGCGCGAATATTTGAATACTCTAAAATGAAACATAAAAAATATGGTGGCCAAAACTATGTTAGATTTGCAACTTATAAATTATAGTGAAGCATAGTTTTAATTGCCAACATTCGAATTCCTTAAAATGGATCGAATGAAAATCAGAAAAAAAAGCACCTAAAAGTATGCAGGATTTGCAAATTTTGAGTTATATTGAAGCTTAGTTTTAGGCGCAAACTTCAGAATACTTTGAAGTGGGTTGCAGCAAAATACATATAAAACATTGCACCTAAATTTAAACTGTATTTTCAAAATATTCACATATTCAGCAATATCGACTAAAAATGCATTGACTTCACATGTTGCGAAGCAAATTAATAAGCAGTACATACAGAGTACTTTACACATACGTAACTATATTACTAATAAAATCATAAACATTTAACAATTAAACAACAACAATAATAAAAATATTAAAATATAAAATTTGAAGTCAACAAATTTAAAAAATTAGGAGGAATGAAAACAATCACCAAATGCAAATACAGAAAAAACGCAAGCACCACACACACACACACTCATAAACATGGTATGTTCATATGCAAATTTGATAATACCCAAGAAAATGTGTAATGGCAATTGCTGAAAATGCAATGGCATATACGGAAGCGTAACGAATTGTGTAAAAATATAGACAAAAATAAAAACAAAAACTAACATCTGCGAAACAAAAAAATATAATAAGAGATATGCGCAAGTAGCAGCGCTGGCAACAACCCGCCGGCAACACAAGACGCGCATGTGCGCAACAAGCGAAAGTGTTAATATAAAAAATATATAACAAATTTTTTGGTGGAAAAATACTCATTATTGTTAAACGGTTTAATTATAAAAAAATTGCAAAAAAAATTAATAATAAAAAAATTACAAAATACAATTATGGAATTAAAAATATATAATTAAATATACAACAATTATAAAAAAAAAAACAAAAAAATATATATATTTCAATAGAAAAAATGACAATTGTATTAAAAGATTTTCTCCTTTTAGTAAGTTTAGTTAATTGTTTTTTGAATTAAATATTAAGTGTTAGCATACATACTTGAATATTTGAAGTAAAAGCATAAAACAATTATATAAAAAAATTTAAAAATTAAAAAACATAAATCATAAAATCCAGAAAAGTCATAAAAGGCATAACAACAATTGTTTATATTAAGATAAACGAAAATAGACAAACAAATATAATTAAATTAATTAATATATAGTATTCATTATTTGTTACAAGTATTTTTTTTTTTTGCGTAATTGATTGGATAAATGATTTAAATATTGATTGATTGAAAATAACAATCTATTAAATAAATGCAAAAACAAAAATGTTTTATTTCATCTAAAGTTGCCAACCTTGTGAGTATAGCTGTTACTTTGTTTTCCAGCCCTTGGCACAACTGCATATCTGCCGAACAATATATTAATTATATTATACTATATATTTTAATAAAATTATTATTTATTTATCAAGTTTTTTAACTATTTACTTATTTCATTGATTTCCCATTGTTAGGAGGATAGCTTATCAATTTGGAATCGCACTGCCACTGATCACACGAGCACGACACGTATCCGCGACACGCTACGTAGGATATTAAACATACCTCTAACAACGGCAATGGAGTATAAGATACACTGTGATAGCCTTAAATATGTAGCAATGTGAGTATTGATTGGAAATTTTTGTAAAAACTTAAAATTTCGCAAAAGTGGAAATCGCAAATGTTAGTTAAACGTGGTAAGAGTGGTATAGGAGCGAAAAGAACAAAGCTTTATATAACCTCAAAAGTTCCTAGAATATAACAGAGCTCTAAAACATTCAAGCCAACAATTTAATGGCATGTTCCGATTTGAACAGCAGATTGCGTTTATTCTCTCACTTCAGAACTCCAAAAAAACAAAAATATGGGGGTAGACCTATGGTAGTGTGACAGCCTAAAAATACAATATTTGTTGTAACAAAAAAGAACGGGACAATTGTAAAAAAATTCAAAACATTAAACTATACTTCAATATTTATTTTGTCGCCGTCAAAGAACCCTCACCAGATGTATTACACTTAAGCCAACGATCCTTCCAGTCCTCGAAACACTGTTCATAAGCACTTTTAGGTATGACCTTCTCTCCTTCAGCGAATTTTTTTTTTTTTTTTTATCTCTTCGATCGACTGAAAACGGGTTCCACAACCGGCAATTTCAGTGTGGGGAACATGATCATACGAAGCCAAATGTGATGAATACGGTGGTTGATCGATAGTATTCATTGCGTTTTTGGCTTTAAATTCGGTCACAATTGGCTCGATACAATGATGCATTATAATCGTATAAAATCCATAATTTGTTCTTCAACAATTCTGGCGTTTTCGACGGATGTTCTCACGCAAACACCTCAAAGCGGCCAAATTAAACTCCTTATTGACCGTATTTCCCTCCGGAACAAATTCATAATGCACCAAACTACGAACATCGGGAAAAAATTAGCATCAATTTGAGTTTTTAGCGGCTTTGGCGTATTTTTTTTTTTTTTTTTCTTTTTTTTTTTTTGGTTTTGGCTCGATTTGTCCCTCCATTCTGATGATTGTTGCCTGCATGTCAAACTTATAAAATCATCATGTCTCATCTTATAATGCTCTCCAGGATAGTGGGATCGAAATTCGCACGATCAAGAATGTCCAAAGAGAACAGTTTACGGTACTTTTTACAAAAAATTCAGCTATATCGGGACGAGTCGAGCAAAACGCGTTTCATACCCAAAATATTTACCAAAATCATTCGAGCACTCGCAAGGAATGTCGAGCTCTCTTGCCATCTCCCTAACACTTGCCTGATTATTTTCAAGCACCAAGCATGAAAGATTCACCTTTTGAATATTTTTATCAGTTGAGGAAATCGAAGGTCGTCCAGAACGAGGCATGTCTTCAGCGATCTCTCGACCGTCTCTGAACGCATGCACCACTCGCGCTCACGTTTACCATAGTATTTAAGGACAATGCTGCCATCTTAAAAGTTGAATTTTAGCCAAAATTTAGTCCTTTTCTGCCTCCGTCTAATCCCAACAAGCAACAAAGTCGAAAATGGAGTATCGAAAACTGAAAACTGTTACTGATGAACTAATAGAGCTGATTAAACTGAGCGGCTACACTTAAGAAGTTAGTAACTCTAAAACTATTTGAGATACCGATTTAACATTTTTAAAGTATGTCGAACACGGACCCGCAAAACAATCAAACTGACGATAAATTGATGGAATTAACAAGACAGCGACATTCGTAATTGCCCGAATGTTCATGTGGCAAAATTTGGTTAATTATCTACTATATAAGAGTGAAAAGAACAAGTAAGAAGTTGTAAGCTCGTTGTTAAGTTGTTGGAATCAGCAATAAAGATAAGTTCATAGCCATTAAATTGGGAAAGTTTCAAAGTAGACGATTCATCGTTAAAAGTCTTTATTATTGTCTTCAAAATAGGCTTCTGTGCCAATGAACATGCATGTTATTTTTGAAGGCATAGACTAAGGAAATTCATATAAAATAAAAATAATAATTTTTATGGATATACAAAAATTTCCGAAGGTAGTACATCTTCTTCGGCAACAAGACAAAATATTTTCCCGTGGGCGGAAAAAAATTCAGGTCGATTCCGGGTATGTGGACTCGACTATCGTAGGAATCGAGTTTGTTGTCATATCCGACTCTCCGGTGGGCTCTTCACAGTGTATTATTATATATTTATAGTATATAATCTTTATTAAAAGTCTTTATTATTGTCTTCAAAATAGGCTTCTGTGTCAATGACATTGCAAACGCTTGTTTTAAGCCTCGTTTGGGATGGCCTTCGATGCCTTAAGCTAATTTACTTTTTTTTTCGTTTCGACTCATTTTTTAAGCACTGTTTCCTTGATTGTTGGACAGTTTGACGGTATATTCATAAATCCATATCTCGTCAGCAGAAATGATACTCAGTTCCGTTGTCTGGCATACCTTTTTGCGAACTGTACACGATGCTTTGTTTGCAAAAAATTCAGATCTTCAAGAAAGAGTCAAGCAGCGATTCGCTTCATACCCATTTTGGATGGCTTCACGAACTTCACTAAATGCATTGTGCCACTCAAATACTTGTGCTCGTGATAAAGCTAACTTCCCAAAAGTCACACCAGCTGACATATGGTGATCAAACTTCAGACGAAAAAAAATTATTGTACCAATATAGGAAAACATGTTTTACCGCTTTAACAGGATCGGCTCGAGTCAAACTTGATCAGATGGTATATCAGTAGACAGATTAGATTAGACTTTAAATGTTGTAATGAAATTAAATTGCTTTTCCCTGGGCTGTTTTCTTTAGAGCACATAGAACATAGAGCAATCTATTCATGTACCCTCATTTAATTGTATTTGTTTACAGTCTTCCATATAAAGAATCCTTATTGTTTTTAAAAATTAAGCTATCTTATGAATTCGAGTTTCCTTTTTAAGGGAACTTGCATTTTTTGAAATATACCAAGATTATTAATACAAATTTTATTTTATATTGGTAGTCGAAAAAGTCTTTTCGTATTTCTAATCAAACTTCAAGTTATTTTTTTTTTTCTATTTATACTCATAAATAAATACTTATGTACTTTTTGGTCGAACACTTTTGACATTTTACCGCTTGAGACATTATTCCATCAGTGTAAAACTTTCATCAGAGTAAATCGAAATTTCCAGAACGAAAGCTAGCGAACCACCATTTTGCTATACAAACTAATACAGCATCGTCTCCGTATATTTCACAAATTTCTTTAGTGGCTTGCGTGGCATTCTTCCCTTTTTTATACAAAAAATTCAAAGTATAGCGAATTTCTTCATTATTTTCACTCATTTTTGAACAGCTGTTATTTTTTTTTTTTTCAACTTCTCTGTCCATAATTTTTTTTTTTTTTTTTTTCTATCTCTATTGACAAAATTGGCTTTTTCGATTACCCAGTTTTTATAATATATTATTATTTATTTTACACATAATTTTACTAAAATTATTTTCTTTTTTTCTTCTTTGCAGTAATAAAGGGCCTCTGAAAAGCTGAAATTCAGTAAACACGTTCAACGCAACAAAAATAAAAACAATTGTAGAAGACACCGAGCGCCATGTAAACAGCAATGGTAATATTAATAACAGCAACAGCAACAGCAACAATGGGCAGAGCAACGGCGATAACAGAAACGGCAACAGTATGGATACCAAGAGCAATATCTATCATAACAACAACAACTATAACAATAATAACTATTTATACGATATTAATAAAGCTAAATTTACAAACGCCTAGAATATAACGAAATTAAGCACCACCAGAGCAATAGCTGCAGCCCAAAACAGACATGCTTATATAACGGTTTATACATTGGCAACAACGCAGAAATTATTTATGTTTTTTGAAAATAGCCACTTTAAGCAGGTTCTTAAAACTATTCGAACGAGAAATAGTGCTTTAAAACAAAAATGGAAGAATTGCCGGCGTTTCTACTTTTATTTATATTTAGTAATAAAAACGCTGCAACCTCAATTATTATATTATATAATACAACAACAAGCCAGAAAAAACATAAATATCAACAAAATCAATCAATGCTCGCAAACACAAAATTTTATTGCCACACAATGTTGCATTAGTATTACGATTTGTTTATTACTTGAGCGCTTACTGTCATCCGAGCGATTTATAAAATCGCTGCAATTGTTTTTATTTAATAACCGACTTTCACTTTATTCTCGCTGAATTTCCTTTTTTTATTTTTTGAATATTCAAAAAGTTTGTACCAACAACAACAACCTTTGTGTGTGTTTAATGATGAACGCGAACACTGTAAGTGTGTTATTCAAATCCCAACCCATAGTATGGCGTTAACTATCTAACGGTAGTTATACTAAACTAAAACATATAGAAAAATACATACCAGTAAACATACTCAAACAACATTATACAAATACAACAAATATTGTATGTAATTTATTGAGAATATGTCCCCACACACCCGAAAAAAAAAATATTGAATAAAGAACAAAGGAAAAAAGTTGTATAAAAATTTAATAAAAAGTTATTAAAGTTGCAAAAAATAAAAGCAGTTAAAACAATTTTTACGTGTGATTCTTTTCTTATTGGTTAGATTTTTTTTCCGAAATTATTACAGCAAAAGTAGGAATTATACTAAAAAGCGCGCAAGTTCTTGTAAGTATGTAAGTATGTGCAAAAAAGAAGCAATAACGGAGTCGGACTGCACTGAAACTAAAATACCCTTCACAAGTGCATTTTTTATTGCCTAAAAGAGCATAAGAAGTGTTTACTTGATTTTGTCTCGTCGGTTTGTACTGCAGGTAGTGTCTGTGTTCTCGCGAAACACTATTCGTCGAAATATTTTTACGCTAGTCTTTTTGAAGTACATGAAGTGCATTTGGCAATTTTTAATGTTGAGTGAAATTATAAAACAAAAAAAAGTTCCATTCAATTTTGCGTACGGAATCAATTTTCTGGTGACGACGCCTTCAGAATGTTGGAAAAGCCCGTCGGTGATAATTGTTTGTCGCGAGCAAGTATTTTTGATTGATCCAAATGATTAAAAGAGAGTTGAGAACGCGTTGACGACGAACCATTTTCAAGAAGGCCTTCAACATCTAATATCGATCGACACGTCAATAAAATAAGATTAATGATTAACAGTCAGAGCTCTTACTGGCATCGCTGGAGTTTCAAAATAGCTAATAGGATGTCATGAAATGTATTATTACTGACGATGAGTCTTATTTGTAGATCTTAACACCCGGAAACAGATGATCAATCAGCCGAATATTGTGACAAATGTGAGCCGAAGCCTAAAAAATCACGTCAAAGCAAGTCAAAAATCAAGGTTATGTTAAGATTTTTCTTCGATTTCGAGGTGTGGTGCACTCCGAATTCTTTCCGACCGGCGAAACTGTCTACAAGGAATGCTACTTGAGTGTTATGAGCCATCAGCGCGAATCTATTCATAAAAAGAGCCCGGAATTGCACTACGATAATGATTTAGCTTCGTGGGACTTCTGGCTATTCAACAAACTCAAACGACCGCTCCGAGGAAACTGTTTTTTTGCTCATTGCACGGTCAGCATGCGCAATCGTGAGACCGTATTTCACTGGACGATGATTCGAAGTATTTTCGTGGGCATCAACAAAATTGTTGGGTACCAGAGTTCAGGGAATAATCGAAACATTGATTTTCATCCGCCGAACCTGCTCCGAACGAGGCGTAGACTTTGCTACCGAACCGGAAAAGTGATGAAAACTGGATAATTTACATTCTGGAAATACTTGGAAAATAACAAAATGATCACAGGGGTCTACTATGCTAAATTATTGGTCGAAGTCATCGCTTTGATTTTTGGCGCCGAAACAGGGTTCTTCCCCACGAAAACTGTCTGACGTCCCACACCCCTGTAGTCGCGCCCGAAATTTATCGAAATGTGCTACGATCTAGCGTATTCTTTAGATTTTGTCCCTTGCGACTTCTCTTCGTTTCCAAACTTGAAAAATTCACGGAACAGAAAGAAATTTCAGTCGAATTTGACGACGTTCGAACGTTCAAAACCTCCGGAAACGTAGTTTTTACACGGAGCAACCCCCGGTTCAAGTTTCTAGAACTAAAAGGTGACTATTTTAAGCAGTACGTCGGAATTTTTCCTAAATTACTATTTTTTTTTTTTTTTTTTTTTGTGGGTTAAGTACATTTCGAAACGCTCTCGTTTGTTCAGATGGTAAATTAAAACAATTCTCACACTTTTTACTTATTACTTTTATTCCTTATGAATGTATTCGTTTGGTTATTAACAGTACATATATATGTATATGTATATGGTGAAAAAGATATATGTGTAAATTAATTTGAAATTTTCGAAATCGTTACTTATCATCGAAGACACTCAAATCGAATAGGTAAACGTTTGAAATCAAACAATCGCCCTCCTAAATAACAAAGAAAGCATAAATAAGAAACGTTTAAATAAAATATTACTTTAAAGGTATACCGCTGGTGTTATGCCCACCAAGGCGTCGGCATGTCCGTAGAACTCTTCCTTCAACGAAATGACAATTGTCTGTAAGTTATTTGTGTGGTCGCGTATATATGATGCCACTTTGCCAATATTGGTGTTATCCAGCGCTGCATCGATTTCGTCTAGCACAAAGAAGGGTGCCGGTTGGTAGCTGTCAAAGTTACTTTGTAGAGATGAAACAATTATAACAAAAACATAATACCTGTGTATGGAGAAGAGTAAAGCTAAGGCAGCAATGGTCTTTTCGCCACCGCTCAAATTGCTCATCGGCTGGAAACGTTTACCCGGCGCAACACAATTATAATTGATGCCATCCAAGTACGGCTCCTCCGGATTATCCGGACCGAGATATGCCTGTGCCGCTTCATTGCGCGCTAAACTTTTGTAAATACCATCAATAGCATCGGATATGTGATTGCAGCATTGGATGAATTTCTCGGAACGCTCATTCTTCACTTTTTCGAAAGCGGATTTTGCCTTTTTCGCTTTGCGGCGCGCATTTTCGAATTCCTCATTGGTCGATTGTATTTTTTCGGTGACGAGTGACAACTTCTGCATGGCTTTCATATTCGGTGTTTGTATGCGCTCAAGTATATCCAATTTCGATTGTAGATCCTTTTGCAGTGTGTCGTTCATTTTTTTGAAGGAGGAATCATCTTTAAGCTTGCAAACTTCACGCGGTAGACTGTTATAATCGACTTCGATTCTGCAAAAAAAAAATCGATTCGAAATGCAAAAAAAAAAAAAATTTATTAATTACGTGTCTCATGGTCAATTAAAATGAACTAATCATATTAATATTTACTGATTTTCGCGTTCTAAAATAAGTGAAGTTGAAGTGGTATTTGTTTCAGAGTCGCCTTGACGCACGGCATCGTCTAGTGAGCCCTTGAGCAGCGGTATAGCAATGCAATCCATCTGCAGAGAAAAAATAACACCAATATATAAAACAATTCAGGCGTAAATGTCAATTAAACATTTCACAAACCTTCGCCTGCATCAAAATGTTGTGACGCTCGTTCTTTTTCGTTTCGATTTTTGCCTCGATCGCTGAAATCTGGCTGCCTAAATTGTGTATTTCCTTTGCCAAATTGGAAACATCGCGCCTGGCTTTGGAGATATCTTCTTCCATGTCGTCGGCTGCTTGCTTTTTGGCCTGTTTCCCCTGCTTTAGCTTCTCCATTTTATCTTTATCCTCGTCGATTTCCTTGAGATAACGTTTTTCCGCTGCTTTTAAGCCCTCCAACGCATCTTCTTCATCCTGCACACCACGTTCCCAACGTTCCAAATTCCCTGCATGATTTCAAAAAATTAGCATAAAAGCTCTACTTACTTTTGGTACTTACTTTTGGTATCCTTTTGCTTCTCAAAATCTAATTGCGTATTGATAGCATCGATTTGCTGTTCGAATTCAGCGCGTTTTCGCGCACGCTCCTGTTGCATAACAAGTTCGCGCTCTTCATACTGACGTATATTCTTCACGCCCAAACGTTTGCAGAACGAAGCGAACACCTTGTCCTCAACATTATTCATATTCTCTTTAATCTCTTGAATATGTTCTTCGCGCTTCGTCATACGCCGTTCAATCTCGCTAATCTTAGGCTGAAATATGCGGGAATTTTATTGACGAGCAATTTTAATGTGAAACTCTCAAGAAAAACTTACGCCAAATTCATCTAATTGACTTTGCACCATCTTGAGTTGATTATCGAATTGTTGTATCGACTTTTTCGATGATTCCAAATCCACCATACTGTACTTTAAACGATTCTCCAATCCCTTTTATTTAAAATTTATACACATATATATAGTGTATATTAGTTATTTAAAATTCACAATTTCTTTACCTTGATTTGGGACTCAACGGTGGCCAATTCACTTTGTTTACGCGATTTCTTCACCAGCTCTTTTAACTCCTCATTCAGTTTGTCTTTTTCCATTTTCAATTGTGCCATATGTTTCTCATCCCAACGTTTGGCTTTGCGCGCCAAATCGTGACTACCACCAGACAGAATACCAGACTTCTGGTAGAAGGTACCGTCCAAGGCGAGCGCATCATAACGTGTACGATCAATTTCATAAGCTACTTTCATAGCATCCTCGGGTGTCTCGCACACCAACGCATTATTCGTAGCGAAGAGGACAGCTCGCTCTATTTCAGGTGGTTCGAATTTGAGTACATCGAAAACAAGTTTGACATTGCGTGGTTCAGTAATGTTTCTACAGAAAGACGATAAGCATATTAGTATGTTCTAAAAAAACAAAAAAAAAGAAATATATTTTAGATACCGCAAACGCTCTTTGAGAGGCTTCACTTGTAAGTAATCTAACGGTAGAAATGTTTCCACTTCCAGCATTTCCTCTTTTAATATCTATGCATAAAAAGAAATTATTATCTGAGGAGAAAAAATAAGTATATAAGTCAAACGCACCTGAATGCAGTGCCTTGCGGTCTTTTCGGTATCAACAATAATGGCTTCCATATATTTGCCCAACACCTTTGTGACCGCGACATTGTAGCGCTTATGTGTTGGCTGACACATGTTTATCATGCGATCATACTAAAGAATATAAAAAATTATACAGCTAGAATGTATTATGTTCATCTACTAACTCACCACACCCGGCACTTGTTTTTTGAACAACTCAACAACTTGCTGCTTCTTTTTGCGATGCGCATCCTCGTGCTTATCACTCTTTGCATCGCCCAGCTGGTCGCGCACGTTTTCTAATTCCCGTTGCTTTTCAGCTATCTTTTCTTTGGAGCAACCGACGTCACGTCGTAGTTCATCTTTAATACGATTTTGTTCCTCTAATGCCGCCTGCGATGACTTTATATGATCCATTAGCTTGTCTCGTCGTTTCACTGCTTCTTCGCGTTGTAATGTCAACTTTTTTAAGGACTCCTCTACCGATGCCTTACGATTGGCTTCACCATCTAACATATCTTGATCGGATTTTTGTTCACGATTCACTGAATCTAATTGCGAACGATATTGTGTAGCTGTGGCTTCCGCTTGCTGTTTGAGACGATCGTACTCTTGCACCAACCCCTCCTCCATGGTAACGCTTTTGCCACGACGTTGAGACTCATTTTCGAGATCATCCTCATAACGTTTTTTTAATGCTTCCACATCCGCTAACTGTTTTTCCAATTTGCGAATGTCTTGTTGATGTGCATTATCCGCCTCTCGTGCAGTTTCAAGCGTTTTCTGCAGTGATGCCAACTTTTTCTGACAATGTGCCACCTTCTCCTTTGCTTTAATGTACAATGGGCGTTTTTTATTCATTTGCGTTTCAAATTCACGTATCTCTTGTTCGATTTTGGCCAAATCACGCGAGAACTTGCCCGCATCTTTCTTCTTCTCTCGCAAAACCTCGTCGGCTTGCTCCTTGCGCACTTCAACAGCTTTAACGTCCTGTTGTTTTGATTCCAAATCATGATTAAGTTTTTTTATGTCGTTTTCAACGTGAAATAGACGAAATAGTTGATACTCCACTTGCTTCTCATTCTGAAAATTAAAAAAGGATATTTCAAAATAAATAAAAAATCAAGAAAAGAAATAAGTTTTATTAAAAATCGAGTTTAACTGTTTAACTCACATATTCATTTTTTAATCTGGCATACCGTTCTGCTTCCATTTTTTCATGTTTTGCTTCTTTGCGCTCAGCTGCCATACCCTTCTTTTTTTGATATGTAAATTGTGTTTCTTCTTCCGCCAAATTCATTTCTTGTTTTAAACGATTGTAATCTTCCTTTAGCAAACCAGATCTACAATACGCATGAAAATAACAATATTATCTCGCAATGATAAATTAGTAATTACAATACCCGCTAATCTCCTCAAATAATGCTGTACGTTCTTTCGGCGTTTTCATTGCAATATTTTCGACAGCGCCTTGGAATACCAAAAAGTTTTTAGCTTTAACATTTATACCCATTTTTTCCAATGTGCACAAATAAACACTACTGGACACATTCTAAAAAATTATAAAACATTATTTTATAGTGACTCAGTTTTAGGAACGAAATTTCACTGTACCTCTCCGTTGATACGATATTCAGACGATCCGCCAATAACGGCACGTTGAAAGTCCATTTGCTTCTCATCGTTGATGAGAAATTTAGCAGTTACGTAGCAACTACGCGAAACTGGCTTACCAATCGATGAACCATGAATTAGATCATTGAGGCGCTTCACACGCAAACTGGAAGTCTTTTCACCCATAACAAAACTGATTGCGTCCATGAAATTCGATTTTCCTATATATGCATGTATATTTACTTTTTAGTGAAATTCATTTGGAATATTACAGAAGTACTTTACCTGAGCCATTAGGTCCGATAACTGCAGTAAACTTCTTAAGTGGTCCAACAATTACATGTCCGCGATACGACTTGAAATTTTCCATTTCAATATACTGCAGAAAATATACATCATCTTTTGGCGCGGAGGTGGAAGCCTCTGCTGCCACTTCTTCTTCGGTCATCTTAGATTTCTTCTTAGAGATTTTTTATTACTTATTTGTTTTAAATATAAATGATAAACTGAAATTAATTACAAATTATTAAATATTTTTGTATCACGAAAGAAAAAGACGCGCTGTTTTATACTTTCCCTTATTCTCTTTAGCATTGACATTTATTCGGACAGATCTTGAAAGCTATTCTGACTATTGTGAACAGCTCATATTCATTTCCGCCATAAAAAAAACAATTTAAGCGTATATGTAGAATATGTAAACAAAGTTTTTTTTATTGTAATAAAAGAATTTATTTAAACAAAAGTCAAGTGTAATCAAATATTTTGGAGCCATTGTAATTCTTTTGCGACTTCTTCGCCCTTACTGTATTTATTCTTCTTCTTTGGAATCACCGCGGTTGATTGTCCTTCTACTATTGTGCTATCGTTCCGCTTCCGTTTATTTTCCTTTTTCTTTGGCTTTTTTTCACCGAGAAATTCAACGTTGTCGTCATCAATTAAGTTAATTTCAATTACGGCAGAAATGGGTTTGGATTTTTGCTTCTGATAGGACAAGTTGTTATTTTGAGATTTCACAGTTGTCCTATTTGAAGCCGACTCATACGTTAACTTCGCCGATATTTCATCCGCCTTTTTCAAACGTTCTGCTATGGATTTGTTTATTCGTAAGCTTTTGTCGAATTGGTGGCCATGCAAAGGATGACGAACCTTAATCATGTCAGGAAATGGAACGCGACTTTCTGGTGGGCACAATGCTTCAGCATTTTCTAACGTCACCGCTTCAGGCGCTTTTAAGCGATCACGAAGTAAAATGCTTCCCTTTACTGGTAACAGTCGCAGGGAATAACGGCCTTTGCGATTGCAATAGCCAAAGGCACGTGTCTCCGGCTCGGCATATTCTACCGCTACAGCTTCAGCTGAATTAAAATTGGTACGACCAGGGAGCTTTAATTTTTGATTTTTCAAATTTTCTCCTATATTATATCCTTTCGGACATTGTAGGACCCAAATCTCATCCTCAATTTCATCAATGTCTTGAAATTGACCGATTGTGGTTAATTCAGTACTTGCTTTTATTTCTTTGTATTGCAGATTATCCTCAAGGAAACGCTGTTTTAGGCTTATAGTTTCCATTTCAATAGACTATTCACTACGTCTTCAGTTAGATAATTTAATTTAAACTAATTTACCACTTTACCAAAACAATTTCACGTGTACAATGTTTTTGTATATTCGCTTTGGTAGAATATGTCAAAATCAGGTGTTGTAAAGAAGCTATTCACAATAGTTGCAAATAAAATTTGCTGTTAAGAAAAGGATCTTGTTAAAAAATGTTCGTCGTGCTCATAATAGAAGTTGTATCAAAACTTATTCTTCTAATAACGGAAGATAATGTTTAATTTATATCATAAAATTTTCTAACGTTATTAAAATAAAAGTATACAAATTATCAATTTTTTTAACGTTATTAAAATAAATGTGTAAATATTATAGTTTGACGGAATCCTAAATTTGGCAATCATATCTGAAGTTAACAAATGTCAAAAAATTGTGTACGTGTGATGAAGTGCAAACGACGTAATAACAAATTGAAAAAATCTCCAAAGCATCAGAAACGAGTACAAAGAAGAGAAAGAAATTTTCAATTAATTTTTGGTTTTTTGAAAAATTTTGCATTATAATTTATATTTTGTTAAACGTGTACACACAACAGCAAAGCTTTATGCACAAGCCAAAACGTTCAGAATTATTGTAAGTAAATACATACAGAAGTTTCATCATCAGTTAGTGAAAAAACGAAGATAAACTTTGTAACACAAAATATTTTGAAAAATTTATGGTTTTCTTAGTGCTATTATTATTAAATATTATTTGTAGTCATTATATTACAATGATGAAAACTCAGTGTAATTGTTCCACACTGAATATGTAATAATATTTGTTTTATCAAAATATCATTCATAATAATCCTTTACTTATTTCCTTCTGTTTTGCAGTTTTTGATGATAAAAATATAGTTGTAAGACTGCAGTTATTGCTAAACAAAAAATATAGTAAAATATATAGATATCCTCCGAAAACCGAATTTGTTTACGTAACCTATTCTTCCAAAACATGAACTTATCATCAACTTCCAATCGTGACATGTCTCGGGCAGACTCTCAAACACCACCATCAAATGCTAGAAATGAAAGCAAAGGACAACTCAATGACACATCACTAGGTGGCAGTAGCATATATGAAAACGCCTTGGATAATCTCACCGCTTATACATCTTTTGACGGTATTATTTTTTAATTTTCAACATTAGACACACCTCGCTATGCTTTGCATATTTATAAATATCTTTCGAACAATATCGCCATATCATTTCAATTTTAGGAAGTGCCAATGACAATTCACATTTTAATGTTTCCACCGATGCCACATTAAACGGCAGCGATTCACTTCGATACAACACAACCACCGGATCATGCAGATCTACTGCCACTCGTGATTTGAATAAAAACATTAGCGCCAATATGCTGCTAATGCAGTCGGAGAGCACCGAGACAAATGCATCACAAGAAGAAGTTGATCCCAAATCCCAACTAGCAAATAAGACAATATTTAAAACGGATAATCCAGATTTGTCAATTATAGAAATTAGTGATAATTCAATTAAAGAGCAGGAAGCTGAAAATTCCTTTTTTCTAATCGAATCTAATGATGACAGTGATCAGCAGAAAAATGTATCTAAAACAGTTGGTGGGGCGAAACAAAAGATTTCTCCTTTAAAAACTTCCGATAATACTGCTACAGCATCTTCGGAGAATCGTCGTAAAAAAGCCGAAACTCTCATTCAATCCAGTAAACAAACACTAAATGTAGATGTAGCTGAGGCATTCGCTGCTGAATCGAAAGCAGCTAGTGGTGATACAAATGATATTGATGATGTGGTGCCCGAAGAAACACATCCCGCCACCAAGCGTGATCTAAAAATATACGACACCATAGAAGATTTCGAAAAGAATTTGCCGTCGACAGTGACAGTGTTGGACACACCATTTGGTAGTAGAGTTTATTTGGTGGGCACAGCTCACTTCAGTGAGGAGTCGCAGGATGATGTCTCTTATGTGAGTAGAAGCAGTAACGACAAAGATAGTTAACAACCAAAAACTTTATAAATGTCTATACTTTAGGTTATACGCAATGTCCGTCCAGATGTGGTAATGGTTGAACTCTGTCCGTCACGTGTACATATATTGAAACTTGACGAAAAAACACTGTTAGAAGAAGCTAAAAACTTCAATTTCGCTAAGGTAATTTTGCATTATCTTATTAAATATATTACAAAAATAAAAAAAATAAAAATTTATCGAACGAAACAGATTCGTAGCATTATACAGACACACGGCTACATTAACGGCGTTTTCTTCATCTTATTATTGCAAATGAGTGCACAAATCGCCAAGGACTTGGGCATGGCGCCGGGCGGCGAATTTCGGCGAGCGTTCGAAGAAATACACAGAATTCCCGGATGTATGCTACATCTTGGCGACCGACCAATACGCATCACCTTACATCGGGCGCTGCGCGCTCTCACTTTGTGGCAGACAATGAAGTTGGTATGGCGTCTCACATCCACCGACACCATAAGCATCGAAGAGGTGGAGGAATGTAAACAACGCGATTTGCTCGAAAAGCTGATGCAAGAGATGGCTGGAGAATTTCCAGAGTTCTCGGAAGTATTTGTGAAGGAGCGTGATATATTTCTCTGCCATTCATTGCAGCTGGCAGCTTTACCACAAATGCCAACCGATGGTTCTGTTATACCACGACCAGTGCGCGTCGTTGGTGTTGTAGGTGAGTGCTTTTATATTCTAAGCTTTACGCAATAATTTCATTATAACTAAATAATTTCCATCTACCGCAAGGTATTGGACATGCTAATGGCATTGCGGAAAAATGGGGAAAAGTGGATCCATCGTGCATACCAGAGATCATGAAAATACCACCCGGCCGTTTAAGTACACGCCTTGCTTGGTATTCATTCCAAGCTTCTGTTTGCAGTCTCGTACTGTATCAAGGGTATAGGATTTTAAAGCCATGCCTAAAACGTTTATTTTAATTCCTTTTCAAAGCGATAATAACTGCTGTGTGAAAATCATTATCGATTTACTTTTAAAACGTAGATATATTTACATATATATATATGTATATATATATATACACCTATGTACATAAATGCTATAACCGCATAAAAACTAATTCAAAAGCACAAATGTGTGTTTTGTCCACTTAAATGTGCGCAAGAATGTCAATGATCAGAAGGAAAGAATTGATATTTTAGTTAAAATAAGATATTTATGTAAGATATGGCGAATTTTCAGCTGTGTGATCGTTCGCATGCCTATGTATATATGTGTTACATACGAAGCATAGAAACAGTTCCATACAAATATTTTCATTTAATTTCATTAAATTGCACAATGCAGTAAAGGATAATAAAAAATTAAAGGTTTTCAAAGGCCGCATAATCGTTATTGAGCCGCACTAAAAATAGTAAAACATTCGTTCAAAAGAATATACATATGTTGTACAGAAATGTTAAAAAAAAATGTGTGATTGAAACTATCAAAATTAAAATACATAAAATAAGTGTAAAAACTAGCAAAAAAAAAAAAAAAATATTGAAAAATAAAAACAAAAATACTAGTTAACTGTAGATTACTAAATGCGTTCGCATATCAATAAGTTGTAGATGTGCCCCAGGCAAACTGATAATACCGCCAAGGCCAGCCTGCCCGGATTTACAAAACATTGCGTCTATCAGCCCAACATTCCCTGTAGTAAAGTATGTGATCGTAGAATATTCCAAACATACCGAAAGCTGTTAATACCACATTTTAAAATCAATGTAGACCTTAAAATATAGCATACTATATATATATTTTTTTGTAGTTTTAAACTGTTGTATAAGCATAGATGTGCGCTTGTCTGTATTCTCTAATGTAAAACTGTAATAAATACAAACCAAAACAAAATGTCATCAAACATTGCAAAAGCGATCTCTTTATTTACTATATTTTTGAACTGTTTTATCACAATACCGTGAATTGATATTTTTCGTGCAATATTTAAATTAGTTAGTTGTTCAAAAGTGAAACACGTTTGTTATAAGCTACACTTGTCTACATTTATTGAAATATAGTTTGGTGAAATTTAATTATTATAAGCTTGTTAGAAAAAAAAATACAAGAAATCATTTAAAGTAGAAGTATTCTGCCAGAGATTTGGGTACGTATGTCGGTCGGTACTTGCAAATTAACGCAATATTTTTTTTTTTATTTTGCTGAATGTTCTAAGCTTCAAACACCAATGATCCAGATGCATAGCTAACGCTGGAATCGTTCATATCCTTGCATTGACTGCTCTGGGCATACTTGAGAAATTTAAAGCTCATATTACTGTAGCCTTGATTTTGTAACGCTTTTACCGAGTTCAACATCACACCGATCGGATGACGGCCACAAATTGTATTGTTGTATTTCCGTAGATACTCGGTGAAAGCACTCGGATTTAAGGTCTCGATGATGGCCATACCCTGTTAAGAGAAACTTACTCATTATAAATTATCCACTGCCATCTATCTAATTACTTACGTTCTTGTCAAGCTTCTCAATGGATGAGTGAATTTGACCACACGACCGATCGTAATATGTATAATTGAAGCGATGTCCCCAATGACAGAAGTCCGATGATATCACGAAGAGGTTTTGTGGATCCGTAAAATAGTTTGCTAAGAGATCACCATATAAAGTTTCCTGATCGGGATTCAAAGAACCGACTAAAATTGGCACGATCGTGAACTGATCTTTAAAACTGAAAATTTATTTAATGTAAAATATTATTGCTTTCATTTGAATAAAAAATTAAAAATGTTGCTAATAAACTTACTCCTCCATTACTTTCGCTATATATGGCAAATGCATTTCAATGCTATGTTCATCTTCATCTGTTTTCATGTCCATCCACGAAAAGTGCCCAGTCTTTTCTAATTCTGCATTGACTATGTAATGTATAGGTAAAAAAATATTAGAAACTTGTTACCAAATACTACCCCCTCACTTACTTTGAGTATCAATCGTGAGATCATATAGTGGAGTTTTATACACCTTAGCAGTAGACAAAGCGCAGCCGCGCAGGCGTACATGATGTGATGGACCTAATATGAAAATTCGTTTCCTAAGCAAATATAAATTAAACCTATTAATCACTATTTTCGTCATTGAAGTTAAGCAAACTTACACAACGGCGGGACTGACTTGTCGATAGGCAAAGGCACCACACGCACCACAGTAGGTATAACCCGCATGCCTGCGAAGAGAGTGAATATTTTTTAAACATACATATATGAATTCCGTTACAAGTAAAGTTTTTTACATACGGCGCAATAATTGCACGAGCTGGTCCATGAGAAAGTTCTGCAGCACCCAGCCAGCGATCCAGCTGACGTGACAGCTCCGATCCTATAAAGTCAAATTTTAGAAAATTTTTGTATTTTGTTTACCACTCTTCATTCAAAATAACTGTTATACACAAGCACAATTTTTTTTTGTAAAAAGAAACCATGGAATAAATGTTTACTTTGCTTAGCAACGCGTTTGTTTATATCTTGTTTCTTTGAAAATAAAATTAAAAAAATATATGTATATTTAGCATTAAATTTATGGAGAAAAAATAATCAACATATAATAACACTACTAAATAAAAAATAAAAAATGACTGACGGCGATAATTCCAATGCACTTTACGATATTATACGGAAGGAACTGAATTTGATTATTAATGAAAATAGGTAAAATTATTGAGAACTGCAACCCCCAAGGCGCGTTTGTAGAAACAAATTGTTTTAACTTCATTTTAGTCCACCACAACCAGATGATTCTAAGAAGGCTATGAAACTTAATGAAGGCACACATTCACAGCTACAAAAGACATCTGAGGCTGTGTATGATGGTGATATCATCACGAAGACTCCAACTCCAGCGGAACATTTGTCAACTATGCTTTCTAGCAATATTTTGCATCTACCTACCAATGAATCTCAAAGTGCAATTATTGACACCGACCTACAAAAGATGCGTTACGATTTACAACAAAGTTACGAGCTTTTTCAGACTATGGGCGAACGATTCCAATCTATCAATTTTAGTTCACTTAAAAATCGCATTAAAGATATGAATCTTAGTAAACAAGATCGTACAGCAAAGTTAAACGAAGAAATGAAGGATGTGCTAGAGAAACATTATAATAATAATACACTGAATAGTTTGACAGCTGAAATGGGTGAAAAATTCCAAAATCATCCTGGCGAATTCGGAAATATACCGGAATTGAGTGAATTTTTCCAAACTTGCTCGCAGTTACAACATGGTTTAGAGCAACTAAAGCGTCAACGTAATTCCGTTAGTGAAATGACAAAACGCCTTTCCAATGCTACAGAAGCCTCATTTACACGTATAGACCATATTTATAACATAATGAATTCTACACATTCAGGACAAATCCAAAACCTCCAAGAATATCAACAAAATTCCTAGCTTAGATCTAATTTGCTTCCAAATATTTTGGTACATGTTTAGTTCAAAAATTCTAGTTGATCTATACCGATTATTTCTTTAAGGCTTAGAGAAGTACCATATACATAGGTTGAAGAAATATATTTGCACTCTGACTTGTATATATATGTATGTAATGTGTGTGCACACTTTGCTAGGATATTTCCATTTGCCCCATGCATTGTTTAACTTATCAGATATACGTAAAAATAACTTCTGTCATATTAATGTATGTTTCCGAACAATCAAGATGAAGCTGACTCATCTGCTTAGCAATTAGACATTTATCTATAAAACTGATTATTCTACTGATACAATGATAGCATACACCAATAATAAAATATTTGCTCAATGTTTACCTAAGTTTGTGTACCAGCTTCCAGAATGGGTTGCTTTTCTGACTGTAGACATTTTTACAAACACACTTTCTTGAATTTCTTTACTATAAATTTACACTATATCACTTTATTTATTTCAATAATAGTTGATAGTGAGTAAAGTGCTTTAAACGAATTCCTTGTATGTGCTGCACAGTCAGATGTGAAAACCTAATAACAGTTTATTTTCGTTGTCTTTGATAAAAGGGACAACCGATTGCATTGGGTAAAGGAGAGTTCACAAAAGAGTTACGATTCACAATTAAGCTTTTTAAAAATAATAGTATATGAAAAAATATTTAGTTAAAACAAAATGCAATATTGTGCTTTTTGTATATAAGCAAAGTCAAATATAAATAACTTAGTTTTTACTTGTTATTCTGAAAAATTCAGCTAGGAGGACAGGAAATATAGCAATAATGCATTCAAGCAGATTGCCCATAAACTCGTAGGCAGGAACGGGTGAAATAACGTACTTCCATTTTTAGTCGAAATGAGAATTCAGTTAGTTTTGTAAAATACTACAAGTACACAGTATTGCCTTTATTTCCAGTAGTATTTTTGAACGAAATCAGGGGGTCCTATTAAATAATATTAAAAAAATTGCTTTCCCAAGTTTGTGTGAACAAACTCCTCGATGCAGCTCTGGTGAATTGAAATGCCGCATGGCAGCGTGTACTAAAATCATTCGTAGTTTGTTAGAATTCGCTGGAGTTCGATAGTTGCTTATATTCACAGGTCTTGGCGTGCACTGCATTTTTTCTATATATTCTATTGATAATAAATTAAATTTCTTGTGATACATTGGTAAAGAAAAGGTGTGTACATTTTGAGGTGTTTTCTTATTAAGTTTATTGAAAGGTTCAAATTTGTTGTAAAAAGCATTTGTGAGTACGCTTCGAACTAGTGAAAACTGAAAATCGGCAACAGCAACGAATCAACTGTCATTGCGGCGATTCAGTTTTCATTCGTTCGCGTATGAAGTTTGTGCGAAATGCACTATCGCGTCATTTATGTACTAAAATTAAAGATAACAAGAAGAAGCACAGTCAGCAAAGAATCGCCGTGTTCTCCACAATTTTCCGCCATTTTGAAAGCTACGAGTGTAAAATTTAGTGATTCGTCAGAAAACGCGTTGCTTATAAAAATTGGTAAAATTGCTGGAAAACGTACATATAATAAATAAAATAAGTGTAAATTGTTAGTGAAACAGCCAAGGAAGTGTTTGTGAATAAAAAGTAGTTGTTTAAACATTGTGTTTGCTCGATTTGTTCGAGGAAAATTTTATGTTCTGTACAAGCGAAAAGGGCTAACCAACGCAGAAAAAAGCAAGCCTACTACAAGTGAGCGAGTAGCACCCCAAAATCCACGGTCTGCCGCCGCGGCCATAAACTTAAAAGGCAATACTTTGAAAAATATGGTTTATAACTTGTTACAAATTTAAATTTGACGTGCCTATCGCAGGAAATAAAATTGAAAGTTGTCGCGCAGTCATAGTTCGTTTCGTTCCCAGACCTTGTCAACGTCGCAGAACACATTTAAGTCGGTCAATACATACATAGTGACCATTCAACAAATCGTTCGTGAATTTTTGTCCCTTTAAAATAGTGAAAACTGTTACTGGTAAGCCTTGCTCAATAGTCAAAATTATATTTGTAGATATGTTGGATGATTAATACAAAGAAGTGCTTTTTGTTTCAGTTTTGAAAAATAATAGTTTTTGTGTTGCGGAAACGGTATAGTCACTACTTATTAGTTAAATGCATTATAAGCCCACGTTAACTAGTGTTTTTCAATAAAGATAATAAATTTAAGTTTTTCTTGACAAGCTGGTGGCTAAATGCTTCGCACCAGCCATAAGCCGCCTCCTATTCACACTTGCACGCCGTGCAGAAAAAGAAAGTAACGAGTTGTAAAGTGAAATAGAAAAAAGAAACAAAAATCTGATAATTTTAACGAGTGTAGATGGCGCGAGCTAATAACTAGTGCAAGTATGGCGGCGAATATTGTTGACACATTTTTAACAATTTCTTTATGCTCCAAAATAACATAAATAACTAAAGCACCAAACACCACTGAACTAAACATTTATTCTTATATAAAATGTATTTGTTCAACGAAATTTTATCAATTGTGAAGTGATCTTTGTATGATTGATTTTTCAAGTCGTTGTTTTTTTTTTGTTTTTGGCAGGTTCGTTTGCCCTCCAACATTTGTTCGCAGATTTTACAATTTATGGCGTCTGCTTAGAAAGCAAAGCCTATGTAGATAGTTATTTTGCGTTTTTATTTTATGAAGAAAATGCAATGAAAATTTTGTTATCTGTATAAATCTTGAAAGAATTAAAGTACAAAGGAAATATATAGTTACATACGCGAATACAAATGTCTATTCTGAAAAAATGATATGATAAATATGTAAATAAAAATGCGGTATGCAGTATGTGGATGGCAGCGTTTGCAACAATGTTTTTGGTTTGTTTTAAATTAAAAATAGATTTTTTTCATAACACATTTTCTAGAGAGTTTGACAGTATTTGAGGATTTTTTGAATGTAGTGGAATAAGTAAATATAAAAATGGCAAATCTACATACAAATCTCTGTGTAGAACTAGTGTGAACATGCGTTTGCATATTTGATATACATATGTATGTATGTCCGTATACAAACCCAAGCCTGATCAAAATATTTGTATTGTCAGCAAATTAATTGGAATTAACATGAATTCTCAGTGTCAAATCCGCGTATGTTTATTGTACAGTAATTTTATTCCCACCATAATAGAGTTTATTGAGCTGCAAATTCTTTTCTTCTGAATATATGCATACATAGTATATAATATATGGAATTGACATGGTGTCAACTTTATTAATTATTTTGAAATACGCATATACATAAAAAAATGTTTGCAAAAAATGGTGACTAGGAATTTTCAATAAACACATAACTACATTAATACGGGCACGTTTTTATATTATGTTATGAGGGCTTGTTCCCGTGATAAGTTATATATGATATAACAAAATATTTTACATATTGTATGCACATTAATTTGTCTTATATTTGAATGATATTTAAATATGTTATTAATGAAATAACAAAAAATAGAGTTTATCGCATAAGAATTAAGTTATATATTTGGTAAATGTTCTTAAATATTTGAAACTATACTTAAATAGGTATAAAAAATGTAGCGGACATTGATATTACACGCTGCATTTGTCTAAAAGCAATTTTTGACGGTTATTGTCACCTACGCAACACTTAGCTAATGTACATTGAACATACATACATATAAAAAAGATAAAATAAAAGAAACATATGAACGCAATGAACAAGTATTAAAAATCGACAGTCATATTTCTGAGAAGTTATAAAACCAACTGCTGCATGTGTATGTACACATTTGCCATTTGTAAATATACATATATTTTAGCGGGTTGTCTGTTCGAACAACGCACAATGCATCCGCCATTAAGCTACTTCAATTTCCCCACTGACCTGTCTGACTTACGGTCATTCAATTACGAGCACGCACACTATTCCCTTGTCATTGAGACGAAAAGAGGTTTATCTGCCGTTGCATACAGCACGTTTTGTGGAGTCACATGTTTTTGTGACTTAAGTTGCCGATAGCGACGTGAAGTTCGTTACATTTGACAAACGTAGCAAGAGCAGTTGTAGAAATGCAACCAGTTCGTAGCAATAGCTTCAGTGGCTTGTTTTGCATAAATTGTTGCATTTCAGTGTGACTAATCAAATAAAGCGTTAAACGTTTCTAGTACCATTATAACTCGTACCATGTTTGTTGCTACGGGTTTATTCGTTGATTGCGCATAGGTTAAACACTGGAATATCTGTCAGACACACTATATTATACCACTTTAGTTTGCACCAAATACAAAAGAACAACTTATAAAATAGAACTAAAAGTTGTTAAAATAATTATAAATAAAATAAAAAGTTTTGTTTTTTAAATATTGTTAATAATATTTAAATGATTTTAGTGCCAATTTACTATTGTTACTGATATATTTTTTTCTTTACTAAGGCCTAAGTATAATCATGTTTTATATGGGGAGGATGACGAAACGAACAATCCAACAGGCAGGCAGTCAGGCAGACAACTATCTTTTTGATTTTATGGTATTGCTAAGTGAAAAGAGAGTTAGAAAATAGCCTATATTGTTTGTTTGCTCCGTTTATACACATAAGCAACATGAGAGGGAAAGGTACAACTTTATAAATACCAATCTTTATAGGGTTATTTTTTCATTTCAGTTTTTAGTCTTTTTTTAAGAACTAATGGCAATCGAAACCGGTTTTTTGCATTTGTAGAATTTCAATTGTGTTTCTACATAGCTTAACTTACTGATAATCAACCAATGGAAGTGAATGTTTATCGGCTCAGTTTGTTGCCATATTTTCAATAAGCGCTTACATATGTACATACGTCGGCATGCACATTAAAATGTGCTATGCACTTAAGATCATTAATACGCGCTTATGTCGGGTACATAAATTAGCTTTTTTTAATTTTGTATAACTATAGATTTGAATAGATATAGATATCGTAGTTTATATTGGTAATTTTACCGTTTTGCTTTTGAGTAGTAGAATGTATTCGTGTTAATTTCACTTGTATTTTCAACTGTATATGATTCTCATCCCAATGCTTAAGCGATTATATATGTATATACAAAGTACCTGGAACCATGTCACGTTTTAATGGTAATATAATTTAATCTTTTATGAAATCATTGACTTATTTTTATATCTATCCTGAACAGTCCGCCTGTCTGTATATACGCGAACTCTCTCAGATCTTGTATGGGAAACTTTTTTATTCAGCAAGATACCTTCACTAAATTTTTCGTTGTTAATTCCTAAGCCAATCTTTGTACAAAGTTTTCAGATTCGACCTCTATAGCATATTAGGGCCATTAATCAAAATGCAGACCTTGTATGGAAAACTGTTGTAAAGATTATTATAACTTCGGTGCAACGTTTTTCTTGTCTAATTTGTTGAATATC